GGGGTATGGGGTCTCTGCTGGGCACATCTCCTCCCTCCCTTCGCGAGGCGTGGATGCCCCCGAGGGTTTTTCCTCCACTCTTCGGGTCTGCATCGCCAATGCGTCAGGAGGAAATGTCCTTTTCCCTGGCAAGAGCAGGGCGGGGTGTCCTGGTCGCTGGGAAATGCGTCCCACCGCAGGAAGGGAAGGGCAGAGCTGGCGTGTGCCTTTTCCTCCCAGCGTGTGGTAGGGAGTGCTGCAGAGTGCCAGGGTGAGGGAACTTTGCCGTGCTGGGTAATTTCGTGCACAACTGTGCCCACACAGGAGCTTAGCTCTTGACAGCTGCAGTATAGTAAAGGTTCATAGTGGGATTTGTTCAGGTGAGTAGTTGAGTGCTCACGTTATCAGCTTGGGGAATAACCTTTCACTCTTTTATTGTGTATAAGTTATTGTGTGTAGATATATATATATGTATATATGGAGAGAGAGATCTGCCTAAGTTGATGTTTGCCATGACTGGGAAGGTAGATCTGCCATAAAATGCAGCCTGTGGTGGAGCACTTCTCAAGGTTAAGTGAAGCATAGGTTTTTTAATTCATATGGCATCTCTGTGGATACTTCCTGCTTTCATTTCATTTTTCATTTCTTTGTTTCATTTACAGGAAGCAGAACAGTTTTAAGGAAGGTGAGTGCTGTTAGTTTCACATTCCTTCATTTGCTCGTGAAAGCTTTTTTGGGGCTGTTGTATCACTGTTGGCACTGGGAGGTTTGATGTACCTGCATGTGATGTTTGTCATGAAAGAGCTCTTAACATAATGTGAAACCTTGTTTTTACTTCTCAGGTCTCTAAGTTACCAAATCAGATTGCAAACAGTGAAAATTATCTTAGATCTGTGATGGTCATCCAGTTGGAAAGAAAGGGAAATAGAGTTGGTTTGTGATACCATTGACAAGAATTATTTCTGAGCTTTAATATCCTGAAAGGGACACAGGAGCAGTACCTAATTACAATTACAATTACCTGTGCATTACACAGGGAGAAAAGGCACAGAAATCTTGGCTTTCAAGTTCACACTGGGAAACTGAGGCTTTTAAGTTCATTCTAGGCTCTGGTCCCAAATATCCTAACAGTCCATTCTCCAATTTCCATGTATCACTTCATTCCTGCAGATCTGTTTGCCTATGGTATCTAATGTGTCTCAATTGTTAGTTTTCGTAATATCAATAAGAAAACAAGAAAAAAAATTCCTGACAAAATGCAGAATATCCAGAGGTTTCTTTTAAATGGTCCACTATTGCATTTATGAATTTCAAAACATAAAGACCCATGTTCCACATTACTGAATTCCTGGCAGGAGTTTCACTAGCAAATAGGGACAGTAGTGAGGTAAATAGTGAGAACTTTTAGGTAGTAGTCAGTATGTTTTTGTATTTTATAGCTGTAATATCCTCATGTCTTGTTGCAGCAGCTAGATTACTTTTGCTATTTATCTCATTTGAGATACTTTGCTCATCTTAAATCCATAGTACTCCTCTAACATTTTGAAGTCTTTCTGGGTTACTGCTTTCCAGTGTATGTGCTCAGTGTCAGCTGTCATTTCAGCCTTTCTGAACTGAGGCAATCTATCAGCAAGAAAGTACTTTCAGGAGTTGAGTTAAAACACCAAGTCACAATTTGCTCTGCAGCAGAGGAAATTCTTGTTTATATCTTTCCTATTTTGTACAACTTGAAGCCAGTAAATACAACTGGCATATTCCTACAAAAAGAGCGTGTGTTAGTCTTCATAAACATTGTCTGCTGTGAATTTATTCTATGCTTTCTTTGCCTCTTAAATATCTTATGGTAGTGAAAAAGAGGAAAGCAAATAAAAAATGTAATGAAATTGTAGAAATATATTAAAGAATTGTTTCATCTGCTTGTTTTAAAATCACACTGTCAAACTGCAAAAAGTCAAGCTTGAAGGGATTGAGATTAGGTTAAAAACTTAAGTATTACTGATACTACATTAGTCTTATTTTAGTCAGTTATGTAATCTAAATGTGGTATCAGAGTTAATAGGCTAAGCAAATTACATTAGCAAGTGGATGTATACAATTCCCAGTTTTCTCAGGGTATTCAGCTGAAGCTGAAATATGGGAATATTGCAGGTGGCTGACAAACAAAGCCTTAATGATAGATGTGTTTTGGTAACCAAATTGACCTTCTTAAATTTACTAGGCAGGTGAAGGCTTTTTGCAGTGGCAGTTTAAATATGTACAATGTAAACAGAAGCAAGGTCATTCTTAATAGAAGCAAGACTGATTATTTTGTTGGAGGAAGGCTTTGAAGTGCTGCTGAACAGCTAGTGCAGCTATTATAGGCTTCTCTTTCTTCTTTTAATTTTAAAATTCTGGGAAAAGGGAGCCAAATCAACCTGTCTTTTTCCCAACACTCAATCTGCTTGTGCTCCATGCAGAGCAATGGATCAATAACTTGGTAGGGAGTCTCTCCAGGGAGATACAGTCCCTTGCAAATCAGTGGTTCTTTACATGGGCATGGAGTCCCCACTTGGTGCATAAATCAGCAGCATTTCCCAGCCCTGCCAAGTTGCAGTGGTAGTTTTCATGGAAAATTTACTTTTTCCCCAGTTCACTTTTGTCATTAGGATCTGCACTGTTACCCCATTTTAACAGTCTCAGTTTTATGATACTCTTTTATAATCCTCTCTACACATCTCTATGTACCTTGTTACTGTGATGTGTTCATCCCAAATGGATTCTTTTGAGTGAGTTGCAGTTCCTCTTACAATATTATTTCTCTGACAGATGGTGTCCTCCTTACACATTTGTAATGCTTATTTTCTTCTACGTAAATATGACAAACTCACTATAACCAGAACCATAGTAGTTTTAAAACTCTCTTCCCATATGAAGTTAGTGCTTATTTATCCTCAATTCTGAATATTTAAGCAGCGTGATGCTTGAATTTTTACCAAAACGCTCTTCAGAGCACATGTTCTAAAGGCCTCATCATTTTGTGCAGAGCTGCTTAGACTGCTAAGAAACTTTCAGATAATATTATTGGTAATACATAGATCATTATAGTTGTGAGCCTGAGAGAGAAACCCTTTTGTGGAAGGATGGGCATGCTCTGTGCTAGGAAGCTCCAGTGGTCAAGGAATATGTTGGACATAGAAAGACTCTTGTGTTATTGGTCTCAGCCATCTCCTCATCTTTATCAAATCACAGAATAATCAGAAGAGACCCTTGAGGATCATCCAGTCCAACTCCTGCCCTGCACAGACACCCCTGACAATCACACCCTGTGCTGAGAGCATTGGCCAAACACCTCTGGAGCTCTGTCAGCCTTGGGGCTGTGACACTGCCCTGGGGAGCCTGTTAAGCCATCTTAAGCTATTTCCTGTTATTTTTTCTGCATGATGCTGAGAAACACATAGTTCTGCAAATTTGCAGCCTATTGCTGACCCAAGGATTGATTGTTCTTTAGAAAAAGCATTTCTCACTAATCATCAATGTGCTTTGTAACCTCTGGAGGAAAGCAATACAGAAGATGACTAAGCTTTTCTCTTGTGTATATTTCTTTGGGCTGAAGTACTCTTATTACATACACTAAGACAGAATTCCATATCGTAGGTATAAAAATCTCATCATTCAGAATTTGACAGTAATAGCAAGTAGTGCAGGAGCATTAACTACCCAGAACTTAGATAACCTCTACCACCTAATTCTTAGGTGCTCTGAACTGTACATATATTTAATGGATTTTCTTTTGTCAGGAGTTTGACTTTGAAAAGGTCTTCTAGTGTTAAATATATAGGCAAAAAACAGCAACAGTGATCTCTAAATTTGGGTACTCTTGTCAGTTTCTGTCCATTTCCCTTTGAAATTGAAGTTCATCATGTGAATATCTCCACGTTTATCAGTCTGGTGTGAACAGGATTTCGTGTGGAGTCAGTATAGTATTTATACTCTTACTCTGTTAAGAAGACTTACATGAAAGAATAACACATACTACTTTTTGCCCCACAGTTCTCCTTGTGGCTGCTGGTTTGAATCTACAAACCAAATTGGAATTGGAAGAGGATAAATTTAGCTGATCTGTAAATCACCAGATCTTTGTGCAGTCTGGCAGAATGGCTGACAGTCCAAACTGTGATTTGAAATCTCTGAGTCCACTTCAGCTGTTTGAAAGAGTCACTGAACAAGGAGAGAAAGTCAGAGCACTGAAAGCAGGAAAAGCACCAAAGGTATTTCCATTTCAAGTTTTTGAACCTATTCTCTTTCAGTTTACATCTGTCTTTGAGTGCTGAAGAATCTGATTGTTCTGAGATCTGTTTTGTATTGCAGTAAGAAAAACTTGTTAAAAATGATTTCTATCCGTTCTGTGAAGTGTGGACATACCTGGAGCAGGGTAGTCACTAGCAAGAGCAAAATTGTTACTCAGGAAGCAAGAACAGGTCATAGACTTAGAAATCTGCTTCAGCCAGTTGCCATGCTATGTGACAGGATCCAAGGTATTTGGTTTTCAAGTCAATTTATATCACTTTTATTCTTCCCTGGGTTTAGATGCTTCATGAAAATCTTTTTCTCCAGGCATTATTGTACACAATAGCAAATATGTCTTCCTGTAACTGTACTGAGAGTCCCTGCTTAATCTCCCTTAAATAATTTAGTAATTTGCCATTAATTTCAAGTTCCCTATTCTGTCATCACTCTGTTGGCAGAGAGAGCTCAGTTTTAATATGGGTTCTCTTAGTGTGTTGCCTATGGGAGTAAGCCTTGAGAACTGGGAGTTGAATAAAGTGTTGCTCTATTTATTGCTTGCATGAGATTCTACAGTAGCTTTGTATTAGAAAGGTCATAACCATAACTCATTATTCCAGTTTGTCTTCAAGTCTGGCAGTGAATTGTAATGAATAAATTATTTTCAAGTCACTAAAAACATTGTGAAGTAAATTAGATAATTTATGTGTCGTAGAAGTTTGTGCTTAAAATGTTAAGCTTGTTATTCCTCTGAAAAGCAAGCAAGTTTTTTTTTCCTTAGGCAGGAATTGAAAAGCAAGACAGAGGTGCTTTAAATATCTTGGCAATGGTGATGCTTTATATTCTGATGATTAGGTGTTTGCTTTTCTTTTATATTTGGCATTGATGCTGAGAGCATTTAGGTAAAGGCTTACAGTTTATGAATGATGCAATTCAAGTCAAAGCATGGATGCAGGATTTTTAGAGGATGGGACATTAATTTGTCTATTTTAAGTATGTTAAGTCAAACTGTTTTTTTCCTTTATTCAGGATGAAATTGATGCAGCAGTGAGGATGCTACTGTCATTAAAATTGTCATATAAAACAGCAACAGGACAAGATTATCAGGCAGGCTTGCCTCCAAAAGATCTTGTGTTGATAAACAATGGCACAGCTAAAGAAGAGGACGAGGATTTGGTGGATCCCTGGAATGTGCAGACATCAAATGCTAAGGGCGTGGATTATGACAAGCTCATAGGTATAACTCTTCCTTCACAGCTACTGAGGAATTTATGTAAAGTGATCCTAATGACCACAGATCAAAATCATCCTAGGGAACATGTCTAATCTTAGCCTTCCTAAATCTAAAGAATTTGCTGTAGGAGTTTCAAATATCCCAGGTGGGAATTTCCTATGGAAGACTTAAATACTTTGCAAAGAACTTTCAGTTCAAAATGAAAGTTTTCATCGTGGTTTGGTTTTTGGCATAAGAACTGTTGTTAGAAGTCATGTTAATGATGACACTGGGACTGAGTATCTGCATCTTCAGTGGCTGTGATGCAGAACAGCTAGAGCCTAGAACATTTTGGCCAGTCTGTAGGATTCTTCCTACCATCTCTCCGCATTCCTTATGAATTAGGAAGGACAGGAATGATCCCAAACATCTTCAGGGAAATGATGAAGTCAGAAAGAGAGAAATATGCAAAGAAAAATATAGGTCAGTGAGGGAGAAGGAAAAAATACAATCATTAGAATCTAGAAGTGGTCAAGATCTCTCATCATCTTGTTGCTTGTGTAGGACTTATGGAGCTGTTTTATTTTCTTGAGGGGGAGATTCCAAGTCTTTTAGAAAAGGAAGAAGAGTAGAATACTTGTGTTGGCACAATCTCAAGATCTTTCTGAGAATGACTAGCATGACTTCACTGTCAATCAATTCATGCCCTTTGTTCCAGTGACTCTGTGTGTGTGTGTATGACCTTTTGAGTGGTGGGTCTTTCCCAAAGTGGTGGATTAGCCTGAAGGTTTTTGATTTACAGTATTCTCAGGTTGGGGAATGTGGTGAATGAGTCATTTTGTTTGTTCTAAGTGATGTGTTGGAAATTTTTCAGAGGAAGGAAGGGAAGCAGTTGCTACTTGTTATTGATAAACATCATACTCTTTCTTTCCTTTTTAAAAACAATAATAATAAGTCTTGTCCAAAAACTTAACATTTGATAGCTCCTCCCATAAAGGTAATTTTTATGCCACCTGGAATCTGTTTATTTACTAGTGGCAGCAGAGAAAATTGCCAGTGTGCTTGTGTTTAATCAAATACAGAGGAAATGAAAGTGCTAAAAACACTTCTAATTGAGAGATCTTCTCAAATGGTTGTCCTAGATGTGCACTTAAGTGTATATTAACACAACAAAACAGCCTGAAGATACTCTGGGGAGAAAGGTTTTGTTAGCTAAGTGCTAGATGTGAACATCCCTAGAAATGTGTTTGTTTGAGCATAAGCAAAGAGCAGTGAGAAAGAGCTTTGCATGCAGTAAGCTGAATATTGCAAGTGATGCAAAATGGTTGAAGCTGGTGAGCATATTTGCAGGTCATCTAGTCAGGTCCTCTCCTCAAAGCAGGGCTGGCTGGAGCAGCTTGCTCAGGACCTTGTCCAGTAGGGTATTTTTTATCTCCAAAATGGAGATCCTATGACCTTGCTGGGCAGCACATTTCAGTATTTGGCCATGTGCACAGTATGCAGGCTTTTTGTACATTTAAATGGAATTTCCTCTTTTTGTCCATGTCCTTCTTATGCTGGAGCCCAGAACTTGTCCCAGTGCTCCAGATGTCTCCTCAGTGCTTAATACAGGGACAGGATCACCCTTGACATTTGCCAGCACTGTCCCTAGTGCAGCCTCTAAGGTCTTTGACCACCCAACACCACAGAAGTGCATTACTGCCTTATATTCAATTCCTTGTCTGTCAGGACCCTGAGATCTTTCTGCTTTCCAGCCAGTTGGCCCTTTACCTGTACCAGTGTACAGTTATTCCTACCCAAGTTCAGGACTTTGCATTCCCTTTTGTGGGACTTCACGAGATTCTTATCAGCCCATTTCTCCAGCCTGCTGAGGTCCCTGTGAATGGCACCACAGCCATCTATTGTGTCAGCCACCCCTCCCAGGGTTGTTTTGTCTGAGAACTTGCTGAGGCTGTACTCTGGGCTCCAGCTGGGCTGTGTGCTGCTGGTCACAACCCTTTGAGCTTGACAGTTCAGCCAGTTTTCAGTTCACCTTACAGTCTACTTACCTAGTCCAGACTTCATCAATTACCTACAAGAATGAGACAGTGTCAAAAGCCTTACTAAAGCTGAGAGAAACAATATTCACTGTTCATGCCTCAGCTCCTAGTCATATCATCACAGAAGCCTATTAAGTTGGTCTGTCATGATTTCCAATTCATAAATCCATGCTGACTACTCCCAGTCACCTTCACGTCTTTAATAATGTTTGGGAATGGTTTCCAGGATTACTTGTTTCATCACATGCCCAAAGGTTGAGGTAAGGCTGACTGGCCTGTAGTTCCACAATTCCTCCTTCTAGCCCTTCTTCAAGGTAGGGGTAGCATTTATTTTCTTCCAGCCTCCAGGAACTTTTCCCAGTTGTTATGACTGTTCAAAGATCATCGAGGCTGACCTGGTCTGTAAAGCTACTGCATAACAAATAGTAGGGTATTAATTTTCTTTATGCAGATATAGCAGGGCACTGGCAAAGAGGAAAAGTACACAGAGAATTTTCAGCTAATGTAAATATGCCTTGGAAAATGGCAGCTCTCAGGGCTTATTATGTACAGTGAGTTGAAAAATATGCCTTTTGGTAAAAGCTGCAACACTAGAGATGAAAAGCACACTAGGAATTTTTTTAAAGCTTGTTAAGGAGTGGAGACTGTGTCCTTGTCAGAAACTGTTTAGGAAGGCTCTGAATATAGAGCCTAAAATGTTTTGAATGTTCAAATAGGAGGAAATAGGTAGGGGAAAATTATCCCATTTTTTAATAGGAAATATGAAGATGGGCAAAGAAAAGGGAGTTGTGCAGTCTGTGAATGTTTAATAAAGATACTTAGGCATTTCCAGTGAAGTGTTCTGTATGTCTGAGAGCTTTTAATCACTTCCTATGGCAGTACATAAATATTTCTAGGGTGTTTAGTCCCAGTTAATCTGGGACATTCTCATATTTTATGTTTCTGTAAGATTAGCCTCTTACCAGTTGCTATTGTTGTGCTGAATCAAACATTTTCATGCTCATTTGGTCTCTTTTTAGCCTTCATCCAGATATAATTAGTTTGCCATTTAGTAGCACATGTTATTTGATGAGCAGAATTTCATTCTGTAATTAAGGCTTGCTTGGGACAAGCAGATGTGGCAACACTCTGAAAACATATGGGTTAAAGTGATCTTTGCTGAACTGTGTACCAGCATTTCTCTTTTTAAGTGGCATTTATTTTAATGTTTCAGTGCATGGGCCCAGTGCTTCCCTTTTATGATGTCCTGCTTGATTCACCTAGAGGGGATGAAGAGTTGTAAGCAGGAACTTGTTTCCCATTGGGTAATGGTGTAGACACCATGCTGAGTGGTGTGGTTAACACATCTGAAGGACAGGATGCTATCCAGAGGGACCTGGACAAATTGTGTCCTGGGCTGCATCAAAACCAGCATGACCAGCAGGTCCAGGGGGTGATTCTGCCCCTCTCTCATGAGACTCCAGTGTGGGTTCCTGATTTTTGTTTGTGAAAAGTTTTCAGTGAATAGTTTATGTAACAAAATGAAAAAACAATTCACGTAACAAACACATGTCCCCGTTTTCTGCCAGAGGATAGAAGAGGAACTTCCTGTACTCGGGGCTTCTCAGCAGCCTGTGGGTCCAGGGTACGTGTTGGTCTGATTTCTTCTGTCCCATCCCTCAAAAATACCTTGGGAGCACTGCAGTCCCAATGATTAGGATAACCATAATTCTAAACAGTCTTTTTTGAGCTATATGCAAAGCCCAAGTGGATTAAAAAGAGTCTCCATGCTGTGCTTTGAGAGCCTGTGCTGCAAAAGGGTGGAAGACCTCTTTCCTTTCCCTTTTCTGTGGAAGAAATTAATTGTGTCATGTAATCAGCCCAGAGTGTCTGAATATTTGGCTTTTCAAGTTCCATCAGGGTGCTTAATGTTCCTTGCTGCCTCTGCAGGTTAATTTTCTTCATAAAATGAGTTGCATACCCAAGGCAGTACATTGGGTAACCAGCATATATAGAGAGCTCTCCCTCTAGTTGGAACCATTCTTTGTGGTCCAGTGGTGTAAACTGTTACACTGTCCAGTGGAATGATTATCTCCTACTACAGCTCAGAAGACCTAAAGTGCTTCTCCCATAGAATCATAGAATCAGCCAGGTTGGAAAAGACCTCCAAGATCATCAAGTCCAACCTAGTACCATGGGTACTAGGCCATGGCACTAAGTGCCACATCCAGTCTTAGCTTGAAAACCTCCAGGGATGGGGAATCCACCACCTCCCTGGGCAGCACATTCCAATGCCTGAGCACTCTCTCTGTAAAAAATCTCTTCCTAATATCCAACCTAACCCTCCCCTGGCAGAGCTTGAGTCTGTGCCCTCTTGTCCTGCTGCTGGTTGCCTGGGAGAAGAGCCCAACCCCCACCTGACTCCAACCTCCTGTCAGGGAGTTGCAGAGGGTGATAAGGTCTCCCCTGAGCTTCCTCTTCTCCAGGCTGAACAGCCCCAGCTCCCTCAGCCTCTCCTCATGGCACTTGTGCTCCAGTCCCTTCACCAGCCTCGTTGCTCTTCTCTGGACCTGCTCCAGCACCTCAATATCCTTCCTGAACTGAGTGAACATGTGTCTTATAACCATGGAATTTGCCAGTGTATTCTCTATTAAGGTAGTTGGAATAGATGGATCTGGGTGTTTTCCACATATAAGATGCATCTTTATGTCCAGAGTCTCTGTTTTCTTCTCTTGAATCCTTTTGGCATTTCCAGGAATTATTGGTACAATGCTGAATAATTCTAATGTTGAATAGAGCAGGATAGTAGAGAAGAATTGATTCTTGTATAGATTTTTTTCTGTCAAGTCCAAATCGTGGAGCATTAACCTGCTTATTAGGATCCAGGACTTATTAGGAATGGGGAAAATGCTGCGATTTCACTCTTATCACAACATTTCCTAAACCACCTCACTTGATTGCCATGATGCACTGCCATTATGCACTACCTTTTCAAGCCTCTTGAGGGGAGCAGTGTCTGTAGTCACATGCATATTAAAGAAGAATTAAGTTTCCAGAAGAGTATTTGGGGTTGTAAAGTGAAACACAATGTGGTCTGAGGGCAGAAAATGTAGATATCAAGAGAGAAACATTCAGAGCCTCATAGCCACTTCTATCCTATGGCTTAGAGAGGCCAAGTTATTGACCTAAATATGCTTATTTGGCATGGCTTTTTTTTTTTGTTTGTTTGGAATATCAGTACTTCTGTTGTAAGGAGATTGCAATTGTAAGTCATGGATGGAGCAATGCTACATGTTGTGAATGAGCTGAGTCTCCTAGCATAGAGTTAGCACCAGAGATGACTGCTGAGACTTTAGGCAAGAATCAGGAAAATCTAGCCAGTTTACCTGAGACTTAAAGTAGGAGATGTCTTTTTAAATCTAGCCTGCATTGGTATGTTCTTGATAATCCAATATCTGGTTGTAGCTGTGTTATGCTTATTTTATGGGGATTTTTAACTCATTTTCTGATTATAGTTCGGTTTGGCAGCAGTAAAATCGACACAGATCTGATCAATCGAATAGAAAGAGCTACTGGGAAAAGACCTCACCACTTTCTACGCAGAGGAATCTTTTTTTCTCACAGGTGAGAGTTTTTCTTGTAGAAAAATTCAGAAAAGTCCTATTTGATAGACTTTCTTTGAGCATTATTGGGAGAAGCCTATGACTAACAAATAACCATGTTCTCTTGTACCAAGGCAAACCATCTGAAATTAGCAGTCACTGCCACATCTGGCAACATCTGAAACTCTTGAATGCTTCTGATAGGTCCTCACTAATCCCAAACTGAAGAAATGTGCACAGTGTTTGCTTTGTACAGGTTCATTTTGACTGTACATTAGCAGCCAGAGGCAGTGGCCTAGCAGAGAACTCCAGACCTCATGTGGTGCCACTGCTGATTTCAGCAAAGGTCCACATGGTCTGTGGACCTGTGCATCTGTATTGTTGCATAGAAAAGGCTCAGGGAATGATCTTAGGCATCTACACTGTTTAATTGTCAGCACAGAGCAGCTTTTGGCCTGTGGTAGCTACCACATTTGAGCTAAGTGCATGATGCAGGGCACAGCCTCCACCAGAGGCCAGCTAAGTTGACTCTATTTGAGAAATGATTCCTAGCTGTTTTACTAGGCCTTAGAGATTAAGTAATTTTAATAGTTACACAATTTTTAATTTCAATATTAAATTTTAACTTTCATTTTTATTTGAGGGGCTTTTTTCCCCTCTGTTGGAGACTGAAGGAGACTGTTTTTCTTCAGTTAAAGAATCAACAAATGAACCTTTTTTATTTCTAGGCCACTTGACATGCTATATTTTATTTATAAATACATTTGGCTTTAAAAGCACTCCAGTTTTGAATAGAAGCTTTTTGCTAAGGATGTTTCTTCCTGAAGAGTTGTATCATGTTTTCTCTGGGTTTTTTTGTAGAGATATGGACCAAATCCTCGATGCTTATGAAAATAAGAAGTCCTTTTACCTTTATACAGGCAGAGGACCATCCTCTCAGGCAATGCATGTTGGTCATCTTATCCCATTCCTGTTCACAAAGTAAGCTATTTCTACCATTTCTATTAATTTTTACAAAGGAAACATTGAGCATGATTTATGAAACTGCCAAAATGATACATTGCAAAGAGTTCTCAGTATGTGAGGTGAATATTAATGAACTTAATTCAGTCTTACCTTCTCACTAAGATGATCATAATCCCTGTATCACCATAAAGAGCTTTTCCTTGCTCCCTTTGCCCTGTGGCACTCCTCAGGATTTTTGCTGTTCTTAAAAATGAGTTTGTGATGAGACTCAGTGACATTACTCTCTAACACAGTCCCTGCAGCTGCAGGACACAGACATTGGGCCCAGAAAGCTAAAGCCTCTTTGAATTCTGGTTCCCTTGCAACACACATACAGGAAAAAAATGTGTGAATCTTTTCTGCAGGTATTTGTCATTATAATCTGTATAAAAAATGTTTTCTCTGCTCACATAAACATAACTACATGTGCATCCAAAGAAAAGAGAAACAAACCTCTTCATATGCTTTTGTTTAAATATGCAAAACTCTTTTAGCTTCATGACTTGCATCTTCATTTTAGCTTACTTGGAGATAAAATCTTTCTGCTTCTCTTAGGTGGCTGCAAGAAGTATTTGATGTTCCCTTAGTTATACAGTTAACTGATGATGAGAAATACCTTTGGAAGGACATGACAATTGAGAAGGCATATGAGTATGCTAAAGAAAATGCAAAGGACATCATTGCATGTGGGTTTGACGTCAATAAAACCTTTATATTTTCAGATTTAGACTACTTAGGGTAAGTATATATTTCTCTAGGGCATTGTAATGAAAAAAAGGGTCTGTATCTTCACTCCAGCTTTGACAGCCAGGAATGTTTTAATATATGTATCTAAATTTGAAAGCTTCAAGACAAGCTTTATAACACTTCAAATAGAAACATTATTTTTGCTGCTGTCTAGTTTTTGATAGATACTATTGTCATTCTCATGTATAACATATAAGCAAATATTTGTGTGTGCAATGCTTAAATTGTGGAAAATGTATTAAACTAGATTCAGTGTAAAAATACCTAAACCACCAAGAAACCTCCAGACTGATTTAAGAGGGTATCAAAATCTTTCAGATGTGTTTATCCTTTATCTGCATTAACAGATTTGTAGCAACTTGTGATTAATTGCTTTAATAACATAGCGTGAATGGTTATTGAGTAAAGTTTAAAGATTTAAGAAGAAGAAATTGCTAGTGAAACAGCCATCCCAGAAGGAAGAAGTTTTATGGCAAGAGTTGAGAAATGAATCTGTGGGTTTGGTTCTTCCATGTGGGGCAATGAGCTTCCTTAAAGATGAGAGAATTTATGTTTTAGAGATGAACTGGGTAACATACAGCAGTGGAATGTGGAGCCTACAAAGAGGTTTTACCTCCTTTCACTCCTGACTTTCCTGTCTTAGCAAAGTTTCATTAACACAGATCTGCTCTGTGGCTGAACAAGGACAGGTCAGAACTGCTGTTTCTTTTGCTTCAGCTCCTCAGCAGAAGTAAATAAGAAGTTGCTGAGCTGTTTGTAATTTGGAAATGTTGCTGCTGTGTTTAGTGACAGAGAAAGTCCAACCAGGGAACTTGTACTGTAGAAAATTAGAATCTGGAGGATGGGAGCTACTATTCCTTCAGACAACAGCAGTGTCCTGTATGGGATACACACTGGAGATACCGGGAAACACAAAACATGATCCATTTAGGTTGCCTGAGTTCACAGAGAAGCATAAGGATAAGTAAACTTCAGGCTGTGTGAGGCATTTTGGCACCGATTCCAGATCAAAATATTTCAGGGTTTGGACAGTTACTTGTGAAAACAAATGTTTGTAATAAATGTTGGGGGAAGGGAAGAATAAATGAAACTTTCAAGGCATAAAATTCCTGTTTTTAAATAATTCTCTGGTTAGCAATGGGTCACAAAAAGTGTGAAACAGTGAGAATTAATCCTGCAGGGTTTTTTTGGCATTCTCAGCTTTTGTAGTGAAACCTTCTACCTACATTTTTCTGCTCTTCTCATTGTATTTTTCCACTTGTTTTGTTTTTCCTCACAGGACAAGTTCCGGATTCTACAAAAACATTGTCAGAGTTCAGAAACATGTGACATTTAACCAAGTGAAAGGAATCTTTGGCTTCACAGACAGCGACTGCATTGGTAGGAACTCATATGAGTTACGAGAAACAATGCTTTGCTTTCACTTTCGATGGGACTGTTTTAAGGAGTAGCTTAAAGAGATTAGCATCTGCCACTAGTGCAACAGACAGAAGGAGCAGGAATATCATGTTTCCAGGCTGATTCTGATTCTAGAATGTTGTTGTGTTTTTCTTCAGCATAGAAAACACTGAGATCTTTGAGGTCACAGCTTGCCTTTTCCGTTAGTTTCTGTGTCAGTTGAAGGTTTGTTGACATCACAGAAGGTAAAGATGAACTAGTGTCCTCAGATAAGGCAACATTGCTTGATAAAAGGAAGTTGGGGAAGTTGGGGCTGTTGAGCCTGGAGACGAGAAGACTGCATGGAGACCTCAGAGCAACTTCTCAATATCTGAAGGTCATACAAGGAGCTGGAGAGGGACTCTGTGTTAGGAACTGCAGTGATAGGAAAAGGGGTCATGTGTTCAAACTGAAGGAGGGGAAGTCTAGGCTGGATGTGAGAGAAATGATTTTTACTGTGAGGGTGGTGAGACACTGTCCCAGGTTGCCCAGGGAGGCTGTGGCTGCCCCAACCCTGGCAGTGTTAAAGGCCAGGCTGGATGAGCCTTGAGCAACTTGATCTGGTGAGGAGATGTCCCTGCCTAGGGCAGGGAGTTGAGACTATATGATCTGTAAGGTCCATTCCGACCCCTTAAATTCTATGAAAAGTAGATCTTGGTCTTCAGCTGAGTATCTGGATGGTTCACTTGTGCATTTTACATCTTTCAACAAGTTCCATTTCTCATTGCTTACATTGTTTAACTCTTCCAAACATATTGTTTTCTAGGTAAGATCAGTTTTCCTGCTATTCAAGCTGCTCCATCCTTCAGTTCATCATTTCCACAGATCTTTAATGGCAAGGAGAACATTCAGTGTCTGATCCCATGTGCTATTGATCAGGTAAGAAAATCAGTGTTACTTCATTTGGTTTTCATGGATTAGGTTTTGCAATGTACCATTCAAACTTCATGTTGGTGTCTCAAAACATCTGTAAGACATTCCTGCAAGCACCTTTCTGGGGCAGAGGCTGGAAGAGCTGAAAGGTGAAAAGATGAAGGCTTAACCCAGCAATCATGTATTCAAGTATTACTCCATTTTGCCAGTCTTGGATCTGTCTTGATCTCAACACAGTTCACACTGAGCTGCCATCTATCTGAGCAAAGAGAGTAACATCTATGCCAAAGCATCCTGACATGGGGTAGGAAGAAACTTTTGGCCATCTCCATGGTAACTAGGATAAGCTGGAATGAGCTCAACTTGCAGGAAAAGAGATTTCTGTTGAACCAAGAGGCAAAAAACCCCCTTCTATCAGTAAGAATAAAGACACATTGAAATAGTTTGCCAGAAAGGCTGCAGAACTTAGCAGTTCAGATCTATAGAGAGAGCTGGAAGAACATCAGGTACAAATGACAGCAGTAGGGTCTTTACATAATTGTTGTTTCTAGGAATCAAATCATACACTATCTGTACTTTAGCTATTTTAGTCACAGGGAATAGTCACTGGAAGATAATGTGATTGTATTCATCAGCCACAATATTACATAGTAATATTATTGCAGTTGGTTTAAGTCACATTATCAGCACAGCACTTGATCACAGATTTAGTTCAGCTTCTGTGCTGGTTGTTCAAATGCTTTGGGAGAAAGTTTGCATCTTGAGCTGCTTCCATCTCGCATACTAAGCATAGTTTTCACAACTATTTGAATCATGGAAAGCTTTGTAAATGTGCCTATTAATTAAGGGAATCAGAGAGTACAACAAAATTGGAAATGGGGCAAAAAAGGGATTTTGTTTGTTGTTCCTCTGGGTGAACTGGGTCAGAAGTAGGTTCTGGAACATTTCATGGTTTGTTTTGTTTGGGGGGTTTGGGGGTTTTTTACACCACGTCTTAAGGCATGAACAAGTCAGCACTAATCAGCTTTTAAATCATATTTTTCAACTTTATTCTCTGCTTATATTGATGGTTGTTTTAGGATCCTTATTTCAGAATGACCCGGGATGTAGCACCTAGAATTGGACAGCCTAAACCAGCCTTGCTGCACTCAGTCTTCTTCCCAGCCCTACAAGGAGCACAGACCAAAATGAGTGCTAGTGACCCAAACTCCTCCATCTTCCTCACTGATACCCCCAAACAAATCAAGACAAAGGTAAGAACCTGCAAAACCTGATAGCATGAATCTAAGATCATCAAGTCCAACCATTAACCTGTCACTGCTGGAACCCCTAAACCCTAAACCAGATCCTCCAGTGTCGGATCCAGATGCCTCTTAAACACTTCCAGGCATGGTGACTCCACCACCTCCCTGGGCAATATCCCAGTGCTCAAACACCCTCACAGGGAAAACACTTTTTGTACATCTAATCTGACTCTGCCCTGTCTCAGCTCAAGGCCATTCCCTCTAGTCCTCTCCCTGCAGCCATAGCAGGACAGACATCTCCCACCTCCCTCCAACTCTGTCAGGGAGTTTTCCAGGTCTTTTCTGCCCTCATTGCCCTCAGCTGGACTTGCTCCAGCACCTCAATGTTCTTGTTTAAGTGAGGGGCACAAAACTGAGCACAGCACTGAGGTGTGACCTCCCCAGTGCTCAGTCCAGGGGGATGACACTGCCCTGGTCCTGCTGCCACACTCTGCTTGCAGCCAGGACAAGACACCCTTGGCCTTCTTGACCACCTGTGGCTTTGTAACAACGAAGCTTTGTAACAAAAAGGAGTGGTGGCCATAGAATCATTAAGGTTGAAAAAAGACCCTTAAGATCATAGAGTTCAACCGTAAACCTAACATTACTGAGTCCACCACTAAACCATGTCTCTAGGTACCATATAAATATAGTCTCCAGTTTCAGCAAAAAAAGTTCTGCAGAGGTTGGCCCATAGCTCCTAGAGACCTGGTCTAGTGGGAGGTGTCCCTGCCTAGGGCAGGAGGTTAGAACTAGATGATCTCTAAGATCCATTCCAACCCCTTCACATACTATGGTACAACACTCCCTGCCTGACACTCCCTTGATATCCTCATCACAACAACAGGTTGCATAGCTCTACCTTCAATAGTCCTCATGATTACACTAGTTTTTCAGTGTTTCCTTTGACCATACCTGAATCCTTTTTCCTGTACCTTTCATGGCAAAGCATCGGAATTGACCGAGTTATGCTAATGTAGCTCTACTATCAAATACAATCTTTTGCCTTTTCAGCAAGTCTTAACAGTACAGACATTAGCTGGGATAATGAACAAAACATTGTGTTTGTTTTTCTGCAGTCTGCAGAGCAGTGGTGTAGGAATCAGAGCTGTGGAGGCTCATGCTGTTAACGTAAATATTATGTTGCCATAGTTTTGAAATCTGACAGGCCATGATGTAAGTCTGATAAACAGCTCTTTCTCTGGACTTCCTCTCCATGCTGGGAACACCAAACATTTCACAGTGTCAGTTACAACACAGGTCAGACCTTTCCTGCTGCTTGGGAATCTACTGCTGCCAATTCACACATAAATATTATGCTGAATTTCACGTCGGTTTTAGAAGGGGCATTTTCTCCTATCTGAGTATATTCCTAGTGCCTTTCCAAGTTCAAAGGCAGATCCCACTTATCTGGTGTCAGATGATTTAGTTTGGCAAATGTTCATCCATGTTGTGGTATTTAAAGGATATGAAAATAAGTCTTTGGAAAAGGATTTACAGACATGATACCCAGACATGAAATAACAGTCAAAACAGCGAAAAAAGATATGTGTTCTTTCTGCTTGGCAGGCTTGGATTCATTCCCTTACAGCTGACAAACCCATGTATAGATCAGATTTTTCTTCAGCCATCACAAAATGATTCATTATCTTTCATAGAAACTGATTCAACAGTGTTGTCTTGGAATTGGAATCCTTCATGTGTTTGGATTATAATTCCAGTTTCTTTATACAGTTACAGAGTTGCTTTTATAAAAAATAAGCTGTAATTTCAGAATAGAGAATACATGGTTAATGGCAACATTGCTGATGTTCTTCCATGTTTCTTTCCAGGCAAGTAGCCTGTAATCTGCAAAGAGATCCAAGAGGCTTCATGTCCAGTTCATAACTCCTAATTCTTCTGTCTTTAAACTACTGCAAAAATAACAAAATAATTCTAGCTGCTTGTAATATAAAAGCTATGAAGAAAAATCCTTAACATGATGTAAAGTATTGAGGAATGGAGGACAAACTGAGATTTATTTCAGCTGCTGAAACAAGTCTTTATGAAAATAGAGCTTGAGTGAAAGACCAAGTATTATTATGGCCAATAAATAAAAAAGCAGGGTAGGAAAGGTGACCTCTGGTGATGGGTGAAAGGTAAAAGGAGAGTGCTACTGCTGCACAAAAGAACTTAGTGCTTTTCAGATTACTAGTACATTGCTAAGTAATGAGGTTCAAAAATCACAGGTAATAGAAGATGAAAAATTAGTATTGGGAAAGGCTGAGAAGCTTCTGGGAAATCCAGGGAGATGAATGGCAACATTTTAATAAACTATCTTTATTCCACCTGTCACTAGCAAATTACAGCTCAATTACTTGTTTGTTTTCCTAGAAAGTGTTACTCAGGGTCTATATTTGTGGGATTTGGGGAAATTGAGGGAAAAGGTCAGTGCATCACTATAGATAAGTCATTGAAACCCTCAGTCAATGAGGAGGTGCCAGAACATGTTAAAAAAATGAGATTAATCTAGCCAGTCAATGAGGAGGTGCCACATGTTTTTACCACATGTTAAAAAAATGAGATTAATCTAGGAAACATTTGGTATAAAACAACAATGTGCCTTCACTTGGTGTATTTTATTCAATCCCTCACACCTCAGTAAGAAGACAGAGGGATGAGGAAAGTAGGAAAAATTTCATACAAACTGACAAAATCCAGTAAGGAGAGAGAGGTCAGTGCAAAGTAATATTAAAAATGTTAGTTTTGCAGATGCTGAAATAGCTATTCAGGCTGCCTCTCAGTATAAGAATAGATGTCATGTGGCAGATGACAGTTCATTTTTTCAGATATTCATCAGTGCATCATTTTTGATTCTAACTCATTGCCACAAGGCATCATCTGTAGCATGGTGGTTAGAGAGATGCAGAAAAGCACTAGACAGGCCTACAGATAGAGAAAATGTTCATCAGTTGTAAATATATAACAGCTCCTAGATACCAGAACTAAAAAAAAAAATACTTCATATGCAAATGTGTCACTTGGCAGGTTGATTATGGTATCTCAAGATACAAGAGCCAAATGAAAGCTCAGCATATGGTTCAGAAATACTTGTCTTCCTCCTCTTAGCAATTTATTTTCTTTAAATTTGTGGGAAGATTAGCATCCTCAGAGAATTCAGCATATGTATTAATGTTTAAAATAGGCTGGTGGATCCTGAATTTGCTGGGAATGGAATTAGCAAGTACATCTGTTCACCAGTGCAGTTCATCTGCCTGTAGGAAACTGTGCTTAAAACGAGGGGGAGGATGTCAGCAAGCATTAGACTGAACACTTGGGCATTGGTCTGATTTTAGGCATTCTAGACAGACTTTTGTAATCTTTAACTTTGCTTTCTCTTGCTTTCTTTTTCTCTGAAAAGAGGAAATTCAGTGCTCTCTAGGATTTCTCTAGAATTTTCCATGCCTTCTTGACGAAGTAAATAACTTTTTTTTTCCTTACATTTCCTGTAAGCACAAATTCTCTCCAACAAACAACAGCTTCAGCAAAAGGGATTTTAAACATTATCATTGACTCTTGGGTGGACTATTTTTAATTCTCACTTCATTTTCATTCTGACTGTGCAGCCTGAGGAGTATGTGTAGAGCCATTTTCCCCTGCTGAGTTTGATGACCTCCTTTTGAGGCTCTGTATTAACTTGTCCCACTCGTCCTTCATCTAGTCCTTAATATAGAATTTGGAGGATCATGGAACACCTCTGTTTACAGTAAAGCAATCCAGAATTGAGTAGAAGTTATGGCATAACGTAGTTCTGTTGTTTCAGATTAACAAACATGCCTTCTCGGGGGGCAGAGACACTATAGAAGAGCACAGGAAGTATGGAGGAAACTGTGATGTTGATGTGTCTATTATGTACCTGACTTTCTTCCTGGAAGATGATGCCAGGCTTGAACAACTGAAGCAGGTAAGGAGCCAAATTGAAGATAGCATTAT